AGTCGCTGATTTCACAGTCTTTGAATCTTTTGATGTACGAGTTGGCCTTCAGATCGCTCTGTTCTTTCTCAATCACTGAATTGGTTTTACTGTATTCACAATCGATTCCAAGGTATGCTCGATAGAACCTCTTTCGTTCAAGATACGTGAGATAATTCCCATGTCTTGTAAGGGAATAGGAGTGCGTGGGGTGATGGTAATCTGCACACCACTCATGAAAATGATTTGCTGAAGAAGAACAAGAAATGATGTCCAAATTATTTTACTGCTTGAGAAAGAAAGTGCAAGAACATGTGGCTCTGTACTGCTAACTTACCGATATCAAAACCCCGCGGATTTGCCGAGGCATATTCAAACTGTGCAATTTCAAGGATTTCGGGCCAATGTACATGGTCAAAATGAGCATTGGGGGTTAAAAAAAGTGAAAAAAAAAATCATTTAAAAGCTACGAGCGACCACTCACATCTATGACCATGATCTGGTCTTGAGGTTGTTCCCTCAACAGAGGATCGTCGTCTTGACGTAGCAACAGATTCCCACACCTAAAAAAAGGTAAGTTCCAATTAAAAACTGAGACTTCAATGAGGGCAAGAACGCAATTTAATGCGTTCTCGAAAAAGAAAGATGAAAGTGGGGAGGGAACTGGGCTGACTGGGTATCATTGTGACTAAAGATTCTAGGACTTTTACCATGAATTCTCTCGTGATTATAGATCCAGGCTCGGTAGGATTTCATTTCAAGGATGAGACGAGGTAAGTCGACAATCTTGACGAGCTCAGCCAGAGCCTGAGGGGATGATAGAGGGAAGGGAGTTGCTCTGAATCGTTCGAGGGGATCTTCTCCGTCTGTCGCTGGAAGGGATGGGTTGCTGGTTGGTTGGATTCCAAGTTTCTCGAGCGCTTTAGCGATATCGACAAACACCTTGGTAGCTTCATGTTGCCAACGAGTGATATTATTCCAAACACCCGCTTTAGCTGATTTCGAGCCAGCGACCAGGCTAAGAGATCTTTGGCCTTCCCGAGTCGAGTTATTATAGTTCAAGGAGCGCAGCTGGGGTGTAGTGAGAGCTAAGGGTGGAAGAAAAAAAGGGGGAATTGATTTTCAATTGGGTTGATAGCTCAGCAGGATATAGAGAAAAAGGGGTAGACTGACGACTGGCCGAGGGATTCAGAGAGGGGGAATTGATGGAATTTGGGAGCCATTTGCTTTCACTACTGAGTGAGTTGGCTCGACAGCTTGATTGAGATTGAGTTCGAGGGTCTTGATCGGAGTTGATGACGGTAGAGAGGTCAACTGAGTGAAGTTCAGACATCTTTCGGGCGATCCAAGTACTGATCTGAGGGTCTCTCACCTCTTCCTTCGTCAAAGGTCGAGATTTGAAGAACTGCTCGACTCTGCCGTTATCAAACGTACCGAGTAACAAGGGCCCGATTCCATATTTGGCGGATAAGGTATGTAAAAGATGCAATTCTTCCTTGCGAGAGATCAATGTGCCCGAAGATGGACCATAGATTCGTAAGAGCACAGTGGGTGGTGATTCTTGGTCGGTTAGTTGGGTAGCTGGTTGACTGCTTGGGTTGTATGTACAGGAGACGAAGAAGACGGCGTTGGTGAGACTTCCGCTGACTTTGGAGATTGTGATTGATGACTTGTATTGATCAGAGAGGTTTGACCATCCCGGCAGCTTGAGTTCAGAACGCAGGAGCTCGAATAGACTGTCACCAAATTCAGGGGTACGATAGTTCCTGATGAAGAGTTTTATGGGATCATTAGTTTTTTTTTATAGATCGCTAGATGAATCAGAAGGGGGAAAGAGATCTGACTGACTTTGCAGATAGTTTGGTATTAGATTGGGGTACGCCCTCGGCATGCACCGGGGCGGCAGAATATTCTACCGGAGGTTCTGATTCGTCTTCTAGATCGGATAGGGATGATGATGATGATGATGATTGGTTGTGGTCATCATCGGTCAGGGTTGGCTGTGAGCTGATAGAAGATTTGTGATTGTGGATGGAATGAGCCCAGGTTGAACTGATGAGTTCGAGTCCGACGCTAGCTTGCATGTTGTTGGTATGTTATTCTTTGTATTCTGAATTCTTGCTGAGTCGTTGTTCGTTGGTTGGTTGGTTGGTTGGTGGATAAGCTGGAGGGTCAGTGGGAGGGAAGAAGATGGAGATGGAGAGGATGGGTGTAAAACGGTCAACAAGAGGAACAGATTATTATGGTGGACTCGGGAGTCGGGTCGAGGTCCGATTACGTAACCGAGGCACCAGATTGTAGGATACACCGGGTCCGGGCGGCCGGATACACCCTGATACACCCACATCAAAGTTTGAAACCCACCACCATCCACACATATTAAAGTTTTGCCTTATCTTGACTCACGTGTCAGTCAGCCAAGCTCAGCCAACCAGTCGCACGGGTCAATCAATGCGATAAGGGTATGCTTTGACTGATTGAGAATGCCCTCAACTACAAATGATCACAAAGAGATGGGAAAAGTCAACTACAGACAAGCAATGGCAGAGAGTTGGAAAGAAATAGCTGGAAGCAGAACCGTGAGAGGGGAAATAAGCAATGAAAATAGTAAGCAGGAACGGTTGGAATGAAATAGGAAGAGCCACGTGTTCAACCTTTAATGTGATCTTTTGTGGTATGTACCACTGACTCCCAAGACTCAAGAGGATATGTAGTATGTAGGAATCCTACAGAAAAGACAGCCAGCTCATAATTAGGAATTGCAGAATGATCCTCTGGTAACACAACATTGCAAAAACTTGGTGATAATACAAAATTTCAACCAATTACAGCATGCAATATCAATAGGTCACCACCCAAGCTGAAAGTATATTTGTGAGCAAAAATCCTTAAAGACAAAACTTGTTGGTAGACTGGTATGTAACTTCAGGCAGGTTTTTTATGTGAAGGGATTTCAGAAAAACACCAAACCTCCTTGGAGGTCTAGAACTGAATGACCCAACAGATTGGCTAATTTAATCTTGATCATCATTTGGATCCATGACAGCTTACCATGACCAAACTACCTGTTATAAGGTTTCAATAATGAATCTAAAGGCTAGCAAGAAACTATGGAATTTCAGATTAGGTACAGTCCATATTGCATCAAAACTTTCATTAAAAAGTTTAACCTTAAGCCCCAAACCAACCCTATCCACAGGTACCGCTACTAGCGATGGCGCAAGAGACATTCATTCTCTCACTGACCCTGGGTTTGCCCGGAATTTCAACCATCTGGGCCTCTTTTTATAATTTTTCCATTTTTTTGTTCCAATTTTTCCCCCGCTAACTCTTTGATAGTTCCTAAGCTGTGCAACAAAACATTGCCTTGTATATTTTCTCACCTTTGCCCTGATCACTAATCTCGTGAACTGTCCAATGCCTTTATTGGCCCAATACGTTGATTTCAGTCAAGCCGTGGAAGGGCCGCATAAAGCATGTAAAAAGCACATGACGATGTTTCCTCAGAAGTACCTTTGTTTTTATACTATTTCTGTTTTTTTTGTTCAAAGCTTCCTCTCTCCATGCGGTTTTCAATTTGTCATCGGTTTGCCTAAGCCGTCATTATCATCTTCCTGCCCACACATCTTTACTCTTGATTTGTATCGTCACTTCTTTGGCCCTTATTGTTTCCTTTTTCTTTTTTTTCCTATTATCTTACTACTCCACCTCTTCTGTACTGCCCTGGCTTCATTGCAATGTATTCACATGATATTGAGATTGGTCACACAACTTGGCTCAACAGGCATCAATCTACTCTTTTCATTAAGGTAAATTGTCTCCTCTGTACTACGTGAATATCAAGAACTGACCTCAAATCATGTTGACTTTGCATTATCAACGTAAGATGGAGGAAGGGACTCTCGCCTGCCAGCTCATTGTGGATCATCCTCCGCTTCAGCTTGGCTGTGTACACTTCTGCCTCCAGCTCTGCTCTCTTCTTCTCACCGGTCGACGGTCGGTGTCGTCTGGTTATATTGTCTGTAGATGCTCCACTTGTCCGGTTGACTTGCTCCAATTTGGATGGAGAGCCGGATAGTTCTTTGATTGCTTGGCTACTCTTGGAGACCGACTGATCAACAATGTCGATACAGCTCCTGATCAGGTTCTCTTGACTTGCCCAACTAGCTTTTATTGTTCCAATAAAAAAAAAAAAACGAAGCTCATCTTAGTTTATATAGTCCAGATACAAACAAACACGTTATTTGTTGTTCATAGTCATAGCTGTGTGTAAGAGTCGCGTCGTGAGTCTTCACTGTTGTAACTTCTACGGTGTTGAGGACAGCAATGTAGCTGGAGAGAACTTCTAGAACCTATGTGTGTTTTAAATTTCAAAGGTCTAGCTCAATAGAAAGAGGATGAAAGTTCTCTCAGTACAATGTAGTGATCAGATCAGAAAAGGACAACAAAAGAAAAAAGGAGAAAAGAATGAAAATGATTAGACTTACCTAGCTCGATAGAAAGAGGATGAAAGTTCTCTACCGAGCTAGGAAGGGGTGGAGGTGAACAGTTTAAATGGTCGAGTGTGTTGAGATTGGTTTGTGAAACTTGTGTGAAGCGAGGTTTCACACTGTGGCATCGACTGGAGTCGCAACCTATTGAAGGGGGGTCAGACGGCTCACTCGCGCTTCAAAATTCTGCTCAAGTTTTCACCCAATTCATATTGCAATTTCTCGCACG